CGGCGCCGCTGGCTACGCTTTGGCTGCTCCTGGCCGCTGCCTTCCTCGTGGCGCTGCTGGTGCGGGGGGGCGCGGGGCTGGGCGTCCTCGATGGGCTGCTCCGCTACGGGAAGACCCGGAGCTGCTGCGGGCCGGGCCCGGCCTGGCTCCGCCTCGGCGCCGTGCCCAAGAGGTGCGGGGCGGGGGGCGGCGCCGGCAGGGTCCCCGGCTGCTCGGCCTGTAGGGCGGGCTCATCCCCGGGGAGGGATGGGGGAGCGGGGCCTGGCCTTCCTTTCCCTTCCCGGGACGTCCCTGTGTTGCCTCCCGAGAGCTGAGAAGGCTCCTGACGGCTGCCGGCCTCGGGGGGCTGCCTGGCCCCGGCCTTGCGCCAGGGCCCCGAGCGCTGTGAGGCTCCACGTGAAACCTGCGACTAGGAGTTTCGCCTTCAAAGCGTCGGGTTCGTGGCATGCTGCAGAGACCTAGCTGCCACCTAGCGATGAGGCCTTGGTGTACCAGCTGCCCAGCCCGCTGCCTCATCCTGTTGTGATAAAGCTTCTGAGACCTGACTAAGCTGCAGTGGAGTGCACTGTGCTTGGCGTCCCCTCTCCCTTCCCTGTCTTCTCCCCCAAAATCAACTAATGTATATAGGCATTCATTCTGGGAAGAGAAACTTGCAAGGGAGATTTCCCAGGTGTCAGCCTGGAAGACCTTTTTTCCCGGAGGATGCGTTTCCTTTGGGAGAAATTAAGCTAATGCTTATATGTTCAAGCGATGTCTGAACACATGCTTTGCAGGGGTGGGGGAGGGTTAATTAGAGAGGCTGCCAAGAGCCACTCTGAGTAAAACACCGGCAGCATCTTGTGTATTCATGATCCCACATTTCAAAATGGCAGCAGGACACTTTAACTAAAGCTTCTTGAATAAGCTTTAGTTAAAGAGCTCCTGCGACTATTCTGAAGCTTGGGGATGCTGAATACACCAGATGCTGTAGCACGCTCGGATTAGAGCGCTCCAGCAGACTCTGTTAATCCAGTCTGTTATGATGCATTCTAATTGGAACATGTTGGAGCACATGTAACAGTGCCTGTACTTCCTACTGGCCAGAGTCAGCTGCCCAGAGCTGATTAAAATTCAGTTTGACCTGAAGATAGGTTAAGCAGGAGCTGCCTTTCTGAACAGACATAGCAGTTTGGATTCTGTTTGGTTAAGCTATTAGTGCTATTTTATTGTGACAAGCTACATAGCAAATACTTTGCAGCAGTTTTGTTTGCTCAGAGACTAGACTGAGAAGGACATGAATCTTATACCTGCTAGGACTGCCAACAAGGGTTTGGCACAAATGGTTTCAGTTTGTACACTGAGGCTTTTAGCTTCCGTGCTAGTAGGTTTGATTATTGCTGATTGAATTATCAGCATCCTACAGTGTGCTCTCTTTTGCTCTCACTTGCATTCTCAGTAGCTGATACCCTGCTCCCAGATGGTGTCAACACTGGATATCAGCCTAGCACTCTTGCATGGAATCTGAACTAGAAGACCTGTTGTCCATCCAGAGACATTAATGTTGCCCTCTGAGACTTGCCAATGTGACAAAACATTCCCGCTTTAACTGCCTGGGAGTAACTTGCTTCATTTGCTCCCATTACTTTCAAGGTCTCATTTAATAACTCCTAGGAAGGTTCTACACACCAAGATTTTGCCACTGTAGAATGAAGTCCTTTCCCTTTCCTGCATGATTTCCCAAAGTCATTCATTTAAGAAAAAAACATAGACGTTATCAAGTGCGAATGGCAGCCTGTACAGCCCTTGTAGGATCTAATATGTTCTCAAGTTATGTAAAATCTGACTTGACTGCACTGTTGGAGCTCTGCTGGTATAGTCATCCTGGGAGTAGAGCTGAAAGGAAGCTGAGCACACTCTTATACATATATCTTTTTGCAGATGTTGCCAGGAGTCGGGTTTTTTTCATTTTATTATTATTTTTTATTCATTATTCATTATTCATTATTATTTATTATTTTTAAGGGCAAAGGGACTATAAAGGCATCTGTATAACATTGGTTGTTAAATCCTATTTACCTCTCTGTTGAGTTCAGTAACTTGTGACTGACTAAAGCATATCTTCCAGAAAGGCATCCAGTCTTGCCTTGATGCCTGTTAAGAGGTCTCTCCCATTTTCTGCAGTACATATAAAGACTCATGTATTTGGAAAGAGACCAAACACTGGAGTACACGAGGCTTGTGGGTGATTGTACAAAAGACTGTTGCAACTGGCAACTGGTGGAGCCTTTTAGACATATGTCCAGAAGAGAAGATACTTTTCAGCCCTCCTCTTATACAGTTGTCAAAACAAATTACATATTGCATTCTGTCTGCATCTTGAATATCTCAGATCATCCTGTATCATTGGCCTCTTTCAACATCCTGGCCTGGACGTTTCTGTCCTAGTCAGATCATGCAGGTACTGGGAGATCCTACAACTTGTACAGCTATCTCCTCCTCCTAGCTTCTGGCAGGAGTGCCCATATGGCCCATAAGCGAGGTTATGCTTACGTAAGGAGTACATGCCATTGGTCAGGTTTTCTGGTCCTGACTATGCTGGCCAATTTTTTAGCAAACCCTTTATGTGAGTACTATATATATTGATCAATGTTTCAGTGAGGCCTACAGCTGTGCAGTGAAAATTATTGTTGTCAGCCTTTTAGTTGTTTGGGTTTAAAAAACAGCATTACATGGTCACTTAGGGATCTGTGATTTATTTCTTAAGCCTTGAGGAATACTCAAGTTTTGTATGATCCCCACTCAGTCCTCTTCTATTCCAGGTACCTGAGATAACTATAAGCAGGGATGAGAGATTATATATTATTATTGTAAGCAAACCTTTAACTAGGAAGACAGTTTTGTGTTAGGCTGTAGTGGATGTCTTGTAGATCTAATTCCATAAACTGGGACTTGGACCCTAAATCATTCAAGGCCAGGTCAAAAGAGAATGGACCTTTTCCTCTGAGAACCTTGAACTGAATTCCAGTGTTGAAGTAAGGAGTGTTATGAAGAACACTGCTAATGCTGCTGCTGCTTCTTTCCACAGGTGGTTTACTCACTTCTATGTGGTTTCTGTGACCTGGAATGGCTTTTTGCTGCTCCTGCTTATTCAAGCTTTGTTCCTAGAAAGGCCTTTCCCGGTTTGGCTTCGGGATCTGCTCAGTGTTCTCAGTGGGTCTTCACAGAACCAGGGCAAGTAGTTCAAACATGCTTAATAGTACTCGGAAAGCAGAACCTCTCTACTCTGCTGCTGTGTTGTTATTTTTGGAGAATGTATCAGCTACTCATCCCTGAGTGTTTTGGGGGGTTTTATATAACGTATAAACTAGGTTCCAAGTGGTTTTGGTATGATTCAGTATAAAACTGTTTTTACATAATGAGCAAAAAGTCACTTGTAATGGTTACTTTCTTTTGCTTTCACTCAGGTCTTCTTGCTCTTTTGCTACTGTCAACAGCATGTGCCCTGATACACACGCATGTTCTCCCTTTCCCTGGAAATACGCTCACTGCAGGGCAAAGATTTGCTTTTAGAGGAAAAAGTTGGTCCTTGGTGGTTGAGCAGGTGCTGCAGATATAAGTCAGTAACCAAACCCTCCATATATAACATCGGGGAGTTCCAACTGGTGGTCCATAGGCTGAATGGAACCTTTGGTGGGTTGAATTGCGGCCCCTGGGGCTCGCCAGTACAACTTAACAACCCAGGGTGGGCAGGGGGGCACAAGTGTTCGCAGTGTTCCTCCCTTGTGTTCTGGAGTTGGGAGAGCAGATTTCCATAAGCCACACAGACAAGACACTTTTGCCCCGTTGCTCGGGGTGGGTCAGCCACCCAAGGAGCCACTTCCAGGCTGTGGGACCAAATAAGGTAGACAGCCCAGTGTTAGAGGTTATATATAGTAGATGGAGAGTTTCTTTGCTTGGACTACATTTTTTCTTAAGTCACAAGTCTGGGAACCTGAAACAGTGTTGTCTGGCTGTTTAAGGGAGGCAGATAGCTGGGGTAGGAATCCAGCTGTAGGTGATCAGCTGTCAGTTAAAAGCCCAAGAGAAGGAGCAGTTTGCTGATAGGAAGGCAGACTGAGGGTCGGCAGAGCTTGCATCTAGGAAAGGGCCAACTCCTGCCGCTTGGGAAAAGGCTAAAGGTTTACTTTACTCTGTTTGTTTGGACTAAAGGTTATTGTTTTATGTTATGAATACTGGTTGAGGGACTCCCAACAAAGCAGAGGCAGGGCTACAGGCACCCAAGTCTGCTTATGGTTTATTGTTTCAATTTTTGGAAGGACTCTGAAAGGATCAGAGCCTGCCTGCACAACAGCAGGTGCACCAATCCACTTGCAGAACTGCAGAAGTAAGGATGTTTGCTTTGCTCTCCCAAACTTTGAGTAAAAGAACAACTCAGGCTTGGAGAATAGGGTAAGATTTGCTAATACAGAAATGTTAAAGGATTTAGAGCCTAAATGCTAAGAGATTCTAGCTAGGGAATTCAAAGGCATTCAGATTTATGAAGAGAGACAGCAAGTTTGTGACTTTTCATTTCTGCTTGATTATAGGTTATGAGCACCTGTCTGTCTTCTTGGTTCTCCTCCTGTTTTGGCTGCACAGTCTTCGAAGACTCACAGAGTGCATCTGCATCAGCGTGTTCTCCAATAGCGTCATGCATATTGTGCACTACTGCTTTGGACTTGCTTACTATATTGGCATTGGATTAACTGTGCTATGTCAAGTACCAGTTAGTGTCAGGAATGGTGAGTACCTCCTTAGAACTATTTAAATGGCATTCTCTTTTTTATACTCGCTTGTACTTTCACAGGATTTGTATACGTGGAAATTTGATAGTGTGCCAAATAGATTACCTTTTGCCTAGAGAGGAAAGTCATACCTAGCCTACATAAGAGAGAAGAAGGTATATGAAATCTATAAAAGGGCTTACTGGAGTTAGAATGTGTCATTTTATCAGGTCACCAATGCCTAATGTAGTCCATCAGTGACTGCTCCTATATTTTATACTTGTGCCTGGTCTACATGTATTTCTTTGCCATATAGTTGGGTGCCATTGTTCCCTGCAAGCTACCTTGTCCCATAGGCTTTCAGGGCAGATATATCACAATTTTGCCACAAGATGCTTCAGCCTTATGAAAGAGCACTCAGTTGACACTAGTTCAGTAAAGCTGAGCATTTTCCTGGCTAGACAGCTACTATGAGCTGAAGTTTCTTTTCTGCTGGAGACCTTCCTTTAACCATGAACCTGACAAACTCTGTTGGCCAACCTCTTTGTCCGTCCACTTTGTACTTTCCAGATGGCTACACATTTCAGGTTGTGTCCTTTCAATCTGCTAGTTAGGCTAATTACATCTCGACTAATACTACAGAGCTTTGAATACCAGTTTCTGTCAGCACATTTCACTAATTTCCACAGCTGTGCTACCATTTGCTTGGCCATGCAGGTGTCTTCTGGACCAAAATGCTCAAAAAGTCAGCCGTGCCTTCCCTATGGATAACTCTTCCAAAGGAGACTGTACTAGATGCAGAACTTTTTGGCCTTTTAAGCCACTTGTGATGATCTGTAGAGTATCTTTTGTTCTCCACACTATTTTTTTTTTAACTTATGTATACCGTTGCTGTGAAAAACTGGTTAGACTACAAATAGAATATGAAGGTCCTAGCTACCTTCTTTGTAATGTGCTTTATCCCTTATTTCTAATCATCAACTGGTTCATAGTCTGCATGAGCAAGGCTTAAAAGCACAGATCAGGACATTAGGGAGAACACAGTGCCCTGGGACAAGCTCTTGGGATATGAAAAGGTGTGTGTCTAGTGCTTTCAGGTAGTTGTATGGGGGTTAATGCATTTCCTTCTAGTTTGTAGTCATGAACCATCTTTTTATTTATTTCAGGGAATAGCCTTTGGATGCAAATCCACTGGTATCACATCCTGGGAATTACACTGTACATTTGGGCTTCTATTCATCACAACAGATGTCATGTGATTCTAGCTAAGCTTAGAAAAAATAAATCGGGTGAGATATTTCACATCTGGAAGCTGTTAATGCATTTTATTTTTTCCCGTTAGAAATATTTGTCACAATGAACACTGTTTCCATGCACACAGTGAAGGGAATGCGTATAAGACTTCCCACTGTGTGTGTGGAAGAGATTTGTAAGCAGTAATATCCAGTTAATTGCAGCATGCAAAGTTTAAAACAAAGTTCTAAAACTTAGCATCCTAGAATGAAATAAATCTTAAGGGTTCATAACACATTTTGAAAACATAAACTAATCTGCAGTGCCCTTTATTATTTTCATTTATGAATGTTGAACCCAAAAGAGCATTTTGTAGCTCAAGGGCATTGAGTAACTTCCTGAATCCAAAACAAAAAATGCCCACTTCTGTGCTTACAGTGTAATTATTTCAATCTGTACTTTCAAACACTGGTAGCAAAGTGTTTTAAGGCCAAGTGGTAAGCACCCACAAATCCCACTGAACTCTGTGGGAAGTGCCTGTATTTGTCATTACACCATAATTATGAGTTAACATTTAAAGTTTATTTAATGTATATTCTATCAACTAACTCTTCCCTCTATTTAATTGCAGGAAACGTTGTAAGTTTGAATCACAGTATTCCTTTTGGAGACTGGTTTGAGAGGGTCTCCTGCCCGCACTATTTTGCAGAACTCCTAATATACGTCTCCCTAGCCATCACATTTGGATTTTACAACTTGACTTGGTGGCTTGTAGTGATGTTTGTACTGTTTAATCAGGCATTGGCTGCCATTTTGTGCCACGAGTTCTACCTGACCACATTCAGCTCCTATCCAAAGCATCGAAAAGCATTTATACCATTCCTCTTTTAAGATATTCATTAATGCAAACCATCTAAAAGGGAACAGAAGACAGGTTCTCAGGAGTCGGTGTAATCAAAATTGGGGTTAGACAAAAATTTGTCTGGGTTCTGCTCACGTGAGTTTTTAATGAATGTACAGACTTTACTTTTAACAGTTTGAATTGCATCTATATATTCACAGAATCATAGAAGTAGGGTTGGAAGGGACGTTATAGATCTTCAAGTCCGACCCCCTGCCAGGGCAGGAGAAAAAACTGGGCTCAAATGATCCCAGCTAGGTAGGCATCAAGCCTCTTCTTAAAGCCCCCAGGGTAGGACCCAGCACCACTTCCCTTGGAAGTTGGTTCCAGATCCTAGCTGCCCTAACTGTGAAGTAGTTCTTGTGGATGTCTAATCTAAACCTACTCTCCAACAACTTGTGGCCGTTATTCCTTGTTATGCCAGGGGGCGCTAGGGGAAACAAGGTCTCTCCCAAACCCTTCTGGTCCCCCGTAGTGAGTTTATAGACTGTCACCAGGTCCCCCCTCAGCCTTCTGTTGTGAAGGCTGAACAGGTTCAGGTCCCACAGTCTGTCATTGTAGGGTCTGCCCTGTAGTCCCCAGATCATGTGGGTGGCCATCCTCTGGAACCTCATTGTTCAACTTTAATATGGAAGCCATTCAATTAAACACAAGAGCTGCTGATGTTTGGCCTTTTTGTTTTTTATGTTTCTATATAATGAATAAGATGCTTTAGTTGCCACTACAGCAATTTGTATGTGAGCATGCGCCTTATACGTGATCTTAGCCCAGGGGGTGGACAAGGAAAGAAGAAAGGACAGTCCTGAAATACAGTGGTCTCTACTCAATTTCATGTTTTAACTCAATTTTATTTTTAAAAATATTTTTCTTCCCTTCCCTACTCTTCTTGTCCTTGGGTGTCTTCTACTAGAAACTATAATTGCTCAGGAATATGGTGCATTGACTGCAAATGTTTCCCTTTTGCTAATACAAGATTCGTTTGGTAATCTTAAATTTTATAGTGCTGTACAGGAAAAGGCAAATGTAAAATAATCTGAACAAGAATAGGAGACAGTAGCAAATAGTGATATTGAGGCATGTTTTATTCCATTGAATATGCATCTTTCAACAGTGCATCTTAAAATGGGGTGCTTAACTTATACACAGACCTATACATACTTATTTCAATTGTGAACGACCCTGATAATTTTAGTAGAGCTATTGTACTTCCATATTGAGTTTCTAGGTTTTAAATATGGGTACTTTTCAAGATTATGTTCTAAATTAGGAAAACAAAGTAAAAGTTCCCCTTCCATTACCTTAAGAAATCAAAAGCAATAATAAAGGACAAATTATTTAAAGCCTTACTCGTAGAATTATAGAAAATAAGGGTTAGAAGGGACCTCAGGAGGTCATCTTTTCCAATTCCCTGCTCAAAGCAGGACCATCCGCAGCTATATCATTCCAGCCAAGGCTTTGTCTAGCTGGGGTCTTAAAAACCTTCAAGTTAAATACCACCTGGGCTATATTTTAATCCAATACGGATGATAGGAGAAAAAGTAGTATGAGAGCATTAAGCTAAATCAAAGAGTTGTGAAAATAATTTCCATATAATTTAGCAATCTAAACTAAGCCAGTGGGAATTTAAAACATACTAAGAGGAATCATAGTATGAGTTAGCCCTAACGGCTCCAATTACAGGGCTACTTGCCTCTTGTGCTCAACTTGTGTATTTTAACTGAAATCCCCAAGTAAACTGGACTGAACCTGAAAACAAAGGTTGTCATGTTCACAAATGTGGGTTATGATGATTGCTGCGATGTAACAGGCCTATAAGCATTTTGCATTTCTGACAGACAAATTAGCAGAAAATGACTACACTGGTGAATTTTATCATAAAATTCCTATATATGGTACTTATGGTCCATCTGCAGACACACCACTGTCAGAAAAAGTCCTAGAAGAGATAACCATACAATGGCTTCTGGCATGTAAGCTACCAAATAAAATAAGCATGTGTAATGGGTATAACACAGGCAGGCAATTATTTCTGGCAGAGGTCCACTTATCCAGTTTTGGCAGGCTGTTGAGGGCTGCGTTGGTAGTCCCGCCCCTTGACAGGTGCCTCGCCCCCAGCTCACCATCTTGGGACTAATGTCTTTGGTCCCAAGACATTGGGACATTGGTGCCGTGTCACAGGATCAGCACCGCTGGGGCTCAAAGCAGGGCATAGGTTTGCAGGGATCTGTGGGGCCAGGCTGGGCTGCACCAGCAGGGAGAGGGGGAGCTGGCCTGCATCCATAGAGCCCCTGCCAGCTGGGACCCCACGCTCCTGCTACCCTGCTCCGGGGCCTCACCAGTGCTGGCCCTGTGCTCCTGCTGGCTCCCTGCCCACTCACCTGCAGTGCCCCCCAGCCCTGCAGTACAGGTGGGAGGCAGTGCACAGCCCCAACCCCCTGCTCGCCGGCAGGAAAGCTGGTGCTGAGTGCGGGGAAAAGCAGTCCCTCACCCACCCCATGGCCAGTGCTGCC